CCTCAAATATATTTTTTTACTTGGGAAACTTTTGTAGTTATATGAAAACAGCCAAGTTCATCAGGAAAGCCAGCTCCCCACAGCCTCTCTCAGCTCCCAACAGCCTCTCAGCTCCCAACAGCCTCTCAGCTCCCAATAGCCTGCTTCTTCTCCTCCAGGTCTGCCTCTTATGCCACTGACAACAGTCCTCAGGTGGGCCTCCCACACCCACCACCACTCACTCAGTTCAGCTGGGGTTTATAAGTTGACCACCCGTTATCGATCCACTACAAAGGTGATACTCTTTGCCTTCATGATTAACCTCTCATACTGTAAACAGGCAGCCTTTTTTTTTCTTCCGTCATTTTGTTTTGGGTTTTTTGAGACAGGGTCTTTTTAGTGCAGGCTGGCCTTGAACTTACTACATAGCCCCAGGTTGGCCTCGAACTTGCTGCAGTTCTCCTGCCTCAGCCTCCTGGGTGCTGGGATTACAAGCTGTGTGCCACCAAGCGTGGCTCAAGTAACCATTTAATGGTCTGTTGAGCACCATGTTTTTTGAGTTTTTGTGCTTTTGTTTTTGATTTTGCTATTTAAATAGCCCCTGAGTAATAGTTTTGAAGTGCTGTTGCATGTTCTTAAGCAGAAGGAAGTTATGATCTGCCTTATAAGAAAATATCTAAAACACACAAGATAAGCTTTTCAGGGGCAGTTATAGTGCTGTTAGCTTTGAGTTCCATATTGGTAAATCAAATATATTTTTTTGTTGTTTTTGTTTGTAGTACTGGGGGTTGACCTAGGGAATTCACATGGAGCTACATTCCTAGACCTTTTAAAATTTTTTTGTTTTGAGATAGTCTCCCTGAATTGTTCAGGTGGCCAGGCTGGGCTCAAACTTGCAGTCTTCTACCTCGGCCTCCCAAAGTGCTGGAATTACAGGTACCACCACACCTAACTTCAACATATTTTCAAAGTATCTTTAGATAGAAGCACATAAAACAAGAGGTGTGTTACTAGAGGCTTGAAGAAACTTAACCCTGTTTTTCCCGTAAGAGTAGTGGTGCAGTATTTATTAGTCATTATTTGTTGCAATTCTGTACAACAGAGCTATTCCAAATAGTAAGAATTGACTTTGTTAAATACATACCCTTGTTATCTGTATGATATGCGGCTGCAAGGTTACAAAGAGAAGACTGTGATCAAGTTAGAGTACAAAACATATATATATACAGCTTAATGCTTTGTTAATGGTTCAGTTGATTCAGAAGGTGTATAAGTGTTCACGTATTTTTACACATTCAGAAATGTCAGTAGTGTATCATATTTTATTTTATTTATTTATTTTTTTGTTACTGGGAATTGAACTCATGACCTCAGGCTTGCCAGACAAGAGCTGTATCATATTTTAAAAAAGAAGAAATTTCTCAGCTCCTTTGATTTAACATTAGAGAAACAGTTTATATATGTATATAGCCCATTGAGAGTACTGCTTATATAGACTTTGGTTAATACAGGTCATTTTTTTTAAGCATTTAATTCATGATTTTAAAACTTTGTTTCATTCCAACCAGATTGCGTATATGAAGGTTTATTGAACACTGCTATTGACATAGACTCCCTAGAGGCAGATTCACATTTAGATGAAGTCTGCATCAAGGAAGTGATAAAGAAAGCAGGAATGAAGCTGAAGTGGAGCAAATTAAAACAAGACAAAGTCAGAGAAAACAGAGATGCTGTAAAAAGGTAAAACGTAACTGCACATTGGAGGGAGGAGACTACAGCACTTAAATCACACTTCTTAATGTAAAAATTTACCTTGAAATTTATTTTTTAATTAAAATGATTTGTGAGTATAGACCAAACTTCTTCAAAGTAAATATACAGAAAGTATATTCAGGCTATTATAAAAGTCTAGGGTTATTTTTCATAAATGCTGAGTGTATATTTTATTCTGAATTTTAAAATTTGTTTCAGTTTTTCCTATTGCTATGAAGATACAAACCATAAATAGGAGGGGCTGGGGATTTAGCTCAGCGGCAAAGCGCCTGCCTGGCAAGCGCAAGGCCATGAGTTCGGTTCCCGGTACCGGAGTAAAACCAAAAAAAAAAAAAGACCTGGGCAAACCATAAATAGGGAGTCATTACATCATCTCTTTTAAGTCACTGTATGTAGAGAAGGGGAAAGTAGTTACATGTCATCAAACTTGAACTTTGGGCTTTATTGTTTTTTTTTTTTGTTTTTGGTTTTGGTTTTTCTCCGGTACCGGGAACCGAACTCACGACCTTGCACTTGCCAGGCAGGCGCTTTTGCCGCTGAGCTAAATCCCCAGCCCCTAGGCTTTATTGTTAAAGGTAGTCACAGAAATACCTACAAACCAATTTACCAGTTATAAGGTGTTTCTCATGTTTAAGAAATGAAACTCGTTTGTTGTTCATTGTAGGCCACAGGCAGATCCAGCTTTATTGATCCCAAGATCCCCAGTTGTTACTATAATGGGCCATGTTGATCATGGGAAAACGACATTACTTGACAAACTTCGAAAAACTCAAGTGGCAGCAATGGAAGCTGGAGGCATCACTCAGCACATTGGTGCCTTTCTTGGTATGAACATAAATTACTTTACAATGTGCCTGGGACCCCCACACACACTTGTTTTTTTAAAGTAAATGTCCTGATATGAAATATATAACTTCAAGATAAATGGGAAGGCCAAAGCTTAAAGCCATTGATTGAGAAAATATAGAGCAATTGGTTGAAAGTCATGTACTTGCTATAAGAAAATTGGCTGGGCATGGTGGTGCATACTTGTAATCCCAGCACTCAGGAGGCTGAGGCAGGAGATCACCGCAAGTTCAAGGCCAGTCTCGGCTGCATAGTGAGTTCAAGGTCATCCTGAACTGCATAGCGAGACCCTGTCTCATAAAAAAAGGAAGAAGAAGAAGAAAATCATGTCACTGCCCTTATTATTGTTTATTCTTAATTTGGTTTAATGAGCCTAAATTTCTCAGTTAAGGTCATACAACATCCAGTGCTATGTTGTGATAATGTTGTTGTTAATAAATAATAGCTATCATGTACCAAGCACTTAAATACTTCACTAAGCATCTTATTTGCTTCGTCTCTACATTATCATGAGGTAGGTATTGATCTGCCCACTTATAGATAAGGAGGCTAAGATTTATTCAAATTAAATAACTTGCCTGAAGTACATAGTAAGTGGCAAAACTGGGATTTAAATCTACGTTTGTTAGACTCAAATGTTGAGTTACTAACTGTGTACTAAATTGCTTTTCTGTGCCTCTGGGCAGTTGCAGCTGTGGTTTGCTAATTGTAGGAATGCCTGTCTATACAGTTATTGATTTGATCTGTTATCTTTCTCCAGATTGAATATCAATTGGTACATTTATGAAAGTAGCTATATTCTAGAAATATGACAAGTTTTAGTTTGAAATTATTGCATGAAAAGAAAACCCTGAAGTTCTCACTGGTGTTTTATAAGTTTTCATTATAAATTTCAATTTGTATTGTTCTGATTAAGATATTAGTAATACTTTTTTTTTTTTTTGGTTTTTCTCCGGTAC